ACTGGACCAGCTAGCCACAATAAGATTCGTCCAACTAGGTATATTTCTACACCACAGGAAGGTTAACATAGGCACCACTGTTACCACAAATGCAAGTTTTTACAGACAAATCTCCAGCTAGCGTGGTCGTGACGAACTCTAGCTCAAGTCCCCTCAAAGCTGTTAACATGACTCATGAAATCGTAATGACACTATTGCAAACAAACTATACCACGGGCGGGGATAGAACCTGCGATTAGTGAGTCAAAACTCCAGACCGTCACTTTAGCCACTGGACCAGCTAGCCACAATAAGATTCGTCCAACTAGGTATATTTCTACACCATAGGAAGGTTAGCATAGGCACCACTGTTACCACAAATACAAGTTTTTACAGACGAATCGCGGGTTCTATCCACGCCCGTGGTATGGTTTGTTTGCAATCGTGTCATTACGATTTTGTGAGTCATGTTGACGGCTTTGAGGGGACTTGAGCTAGAGTTCGTCACGGCCACGCTAGCTGGAGATTCGTCTGTAAAAACTTGCATTTGTGGTAACAGTGGTGCCTATGTTAACCTTCCTGTGGTGTAGAAATATACCTAGTTGGACGAATCTTATTGTGGCTAGCTGGTCCAGTGGCTAACGAGACGGTCTGGAGTTTTGAGACTCTGATCACGGGTTCTATCCCCGCCTGAGGTATGATTTCTTTGCAATCGTGTCATTACGATTTCGTGAGCCAAGCCTCCAAAGCCTTTCATTACTGTCCGTTACCAAGAATGACCAATAAACCCGTAAACACTCTTCCTTCCCTCCTCGGGCAACACAACCGCTGCGACCACCACTGTCACCAATGTTTACCAGATTGTTGGTCATTCCTGCAGAGTAGGGTTCAATGATAAGGCTTCGGAGGCTTCTTACTTCATTTGCAATGTCGTGGGGCACACAAGCAGCATGTTAAGTGCCCATGGGCCGGGAGGGCCATGCCCACAAGGGAGAAAGGAGTAGGCCTTGTTGACTGAGTGAAGGCCACTGAGTGAGTGAGGCAGAGGCAGGTGTGGGCATACTGAAGTGGAAGACCTATAGGTGACAGCACGAGCAAGGTGCGAAATATGAACTCAGTTGGCAGACAGCATAGGTTGTCTATGCAGACAGTACAGGCTGTCTATGCTGTCCCTATTTAGTGTTTTATATATCGTTATCATATTCCCCCATCTCTCCTGTCGTCCAGTGTCATCAGGTTCATTTCCCTTAACCTCTCCTTGTAGGTCATACCCTTTAGATTCGATACTAGTCTTACTGCAAACCTTTGCATTTTCTCTAATTTCTTGATGTGCTTGACCAGTTGTGGGTTCCGTTCTGGTGCTGCATACTCCAATATGAACCTGACATACACAGTGTGCAGATTCTTGAATGATTCCATACTCAGGTGTCGAATTGCTATTCTTAGATTTGCCAGGCGCCCATATGCTGCAGCAGTTATTTGGTTGATGTGTGCCTCAGGAGATCTGCTCGGTATTATACTTACCACAAGATCCTTTTCCTTGAGCGAGCTTTGCAGTCTTTGGCCCCCCTAGCCTGTACTCTGTCTGCAGTCTTCTTTCACCTTCCCCAATCTTCATTACTTTGCATTTCGTGTGGTTAAACTCCAGAAGCCAGTTGTTAGACCAGGCTTGCAGCCTGTCCAAATCTCTTTGTAGTCCCACCTGATCCTCATCCACTTGAATTCTCTGTATTATCTTCACATACTCCACTCATCACACGAGTCAACTCTGATACCTCGTCACATACCATCACCCAGTGTTTCCTTCCTGTCAGATATTCTCTGAGTCATTGTAATGACTTTCTTGTTATTTCTGCCTGCTCTTCTAACTTTTGCATTAATTTCCTGTCAGGAACTGTGTCAAAAGCATTCTTACAGCCCAAGAAAATGCAGTCTATCTACTCGTCCCTCTCCTGCCTTACTTCTGTCGCCTTGTCGTAAAACTCCAGTAGGTTTGTGACACAGGATTTTCTCTTCCTGAAACCGTACTAGTTACAGTGTATAATCTCATACCTGTCTAGGTGCTCCACCAGTCTTTCCTGATAAGCTTCTCTATGACTTTCCATACTATGTATGCCAGTGACACTGGTCTGTAGTTTAATGCCACCTGCCTATCTCCTTTCTTAGAGGTTGGGACTACATTTGCCGTCTTCCACACCTCAGGTAGTTGCCGTGTTTCATTAGATGTGTTGAAGATTGTTAGTGGCACACATACTGCCTCTGCTTCCTCTCTCAGGACCCATGGAGAGATATCTGGTCCTACCACCTTTGAGGTATCTAGTTCACTTAGCATCATCTTCACCTCCTCCTCCTCTGTTGTATGTATTGTATCCAGCACTTGTTGGTGTACCCTTCCATCCAGGTTTGCTGGAGTACTTTCTGTTTTTACTGAAAACACTTCCTTGAATCTCGTGTTGAGCTCTTCTCTTACTTCTTTGTTGTTTCACGTGATCTCCCCTCCTTCCTTCCTCAGCTTGATTACCTGATCCTTGACTGTTATTTGCTTCCTGATGTAGTTGTACAACAAATTTGGGTAAAATTTGACTTTCGATGCTATGTCATTCTCGTATTGCCACTGTCCTCCCTCCTTATCCATACATATTCATTTCTGGCTCTTTGGCTAATCTTCGAGTCCTTTGTCTTCTGTAATTTTTCCATTCTCTAGCTCACCAAGGGTTCGTTTTGGTCTTCCCATTGTTTCTGTTGCCCTCAGGTGTGAACCTCTCCTCTGCCTCCATGCACATCGTGGTCATGTGTTCCATCATTTCATTTACTGTTTTTTCCCACCAGTTCTCTTTCCCACTGTACCTCATACAGGGAATTCCTCATGACTGTTTAGTCCCCTCTTTTGTAATTTGGCTTCTACTATCCTACTCATACTGCTTCACTATCCACTTTTAACTCTACAATGTATTCAAAGCTGAGAACCACGTGATCGCTAGCTCTGAAAGGCCTTTCATATGTGATGTCCTCAATGTCAGAACTACTTAAGGCAAATATGAGGTCTAGCCTAGCTGGTTCATCCTCTCCTTTCTCTCTGGTAGTGTCCCTGACATGTTGATGCATACGGTTTTTCAGGACCACCTCCATCATTTTAGCTCTCCACGTTTCTTTTCCCCCATATGGCTCCAGGTTTTCCCAGTCACTCTCCTTGTGATTGAAATCACCCACACCTAGTAACTTTGCTCTACCCATATGGGTACTTCTGGCCACCTCAGCTAGTGTGTCCACCATTGCTCTGTTGCTCTCATTATGGTCTTGTCTTGGCCTCCTGCTATTCTGTGGCAAGTTGTACATCACTGCAATCACCACCTTGGGACCCCCAGTTTGAAGTGTTCCTACCCTTGCTTCCATTCCTTTCATTCCTTCCATTTCCTCAAATCTCCACTAGATTTTGATGAGCAGTGCAACTCCTCCTCCCCCTCTGCTTCCTCTATCTTTCCTCAGGATCTGATATTCAGATGGAAAAATCACATATGTTATCATCCCCATTAGCTTCATTTCCATGAGTGCTATGATGTCTGGGAATGTCTTCATGATTCTTTCATGCCACTTCTTACATTATTCCGTCTGTGTTGGTGAACCACACCTTCATCTTCTTTTTCTAATGAAGGTGTACCACACCTTCTCAACAGCCCCCATTATACTATGGGGTACTGTTGTGAAGGTGGAGTTTCTGGTGGGGGTAGGGGGTGAAGGCTGTGGGTATGGAGTGTGGATTGGTTTTGGTTAATTTGCTGGATTGTGGTGGGGTTCTCGAGGTTGAAGGTCTTCTGTGGGTGGTTCTGAGGGAGGTTGTGTTTGCTCTTCCTCCTGAGTCTAGGTTCTCCTGCCTGTCTCCATCCTTGACTCTCTTTCCTGCCCCTTGCATCTTTGCATCCTCTCTCACAGTTTCTGTCTTTTCATGTTTTGTCGTGGTCTAGGTATTCCTACTGGTAATCTGATGAGCCCCCTTAGTCGTGTTTTCTTCTACATGATCCTGTTTCACACTATTTCTGATTTGAAAATCAATTTTACTGGACAGTTTCTTCCCCTTGAAAACCACCCTATTCTCTGAAAATTTGCCAGCTGCGTCATGTTCTTCTCTCCTATCTCTTTCATGATATTTTCAATCATTTTCACCGTCCCCTGTCGTCTTTCTTCATAAGTTGCTCCTTTGGCCTTTCGAAGTCCATGAACAAGGACTGACTTCTCCGTTTCATCCTCCCATTGCATTTCCCTTTATATCTCATGAACTAATTTAAATATCTCCATTGCCGCTTTCCATAACATTTCCTGGATCTCTCGATGATCTAATAATGCCTCTGCAGGGGACCTGTCTCCTTCCCTTCCTTCACTCTCCTCTCTGTCTGCTGTCCTTGTACCCAACGGCCTGTCACTTTCACTCGACTTTTTCTAGGTCCTCCAGTGATCTGAGAGGGCCTCTGTGTATGAATTATCTCCTTCCCTTCCTTCTGTCCCCTCGCTGGTTGCTGATGTTATTGTTCCTGATGTCATACCCGTTTTGCTCTTCGGTTCTTTAATTAACCTATGTGTATGTGTGTGTGTACTCACCTAATTGTACTCACCTAATTGTGGTTGCAGGGGTCGAGACTCAGTTCCTGGCCCCGCCACTTCACCGACCGCTACTAGGTCCTCTCTCCCCCTGCTCCATGAGCTTTATCATACCTTTTTGGTATGTGTGTGTGTGTGTGTACTCACCTATTTGTACTCACCTATTTGTGGTTGTGTGTGTGTGTGTGTGTGTGTGTGTGTGTGTGTGTGTGTTCATGTGTGTGGGGTGTGTGTGTGTGTGTGTGTGTGTGTGTGTGTGTGTGTGTGTGTGTGTGTGTGTGTGTGTGTGTGTGTGTGTGTGTGTGTTTACACCCTCATGGATTGTGACAATATGGATGGTGAGAGTAGATTTGAAGACTGTAAAAATGATGGATGGATGACGGTGATGATAAAACCAGTTATCTCACATGATTTGCCTTAATGTCCGTGTCTCCTTCCCTCCTGCAGGTGAAGCATGACGACGGAGCGCCGCTGGTATGACCCTCCTGCTCCCCGGGACTGGCATCCTACACCTGCAGAGCTAGAACGCCTCCAGTCCAACTCCTCCCTCAGGAAGGCTCTTCTCAACCGCTCCTCCTCCAGGAACATCGATAGGGTCTCACTCAGGTCCTCGTGCAGCGCCAAATCGGATGCGTATAGTGTAGATAAGAGTTACCTAGAGAGGAGCATTCGAGGGTCTATCTCTAGTCGCAATTCGTACACTGGCAGTCCCCTGGTGCCACCCCTCAGAAAGGGGACCAGTACCGATGGGAGCGTTCGGACACTTAAGTCTAGGGGAGAAAATTTTTCCTCTCAAGCGTCGTCATCAGCAGGAGGTTCCACTGCGAGCATAGGCTCTACGTATGCATTTAACAGGCTTAATACCAGAGGAAAGGAAGATATTGACAGGCATCTAAGGACATCGCCTCCATCTCGTGTTCAAAGCTCCAGAATCGCTAAATATCAACCGCTCCCGGCTATCAGCACAGCGACGACCACGACGGACTCCAGCAATAACAAAGAAACGGGGTTCGAACCCCCGCCTCTAATCAGAAGCAGAACTTTCGATGTGATCGACACAAAGATGAAGAACCTGCCAGAGGCGGACGACTACAGTGGTAGTAGAGTGACTAGCCCGAACTGTGAGACTCCGACGCATACTGTCACTGTCAGTATAGAAGGTAAACCACTGGCCGAGTTCCTCCTACATGCCAGAGACGGACTTCTCAAGTCTCGCCCTGGCACGCGCTATGGCAGGCCAGAACCAGGGGAAGTCTTAGACTCGGGGAACAGTGAACTTCAACCTGACGGGAACTCTGAATTTATGAAGCTTCTTGGAGCCTCTTTGCAAGAATGCCAACTTGGAAATGACAGTGGCATTAGTGAAGAGGAGGAAAATTCAGAGCAAGAGGGAAATGATAAAAATAAAGTGATTTTTGTAGATTGTTCCTCACACAAAGTGACTGACAATAATAGTGACTGGACAGAACCTTCCGATAATTTGACTCAAGAAAGTAGTGAAAGTAAAGTGAACGAGGAAGAAAGCTCATTGCAAGAAAAACTTGATAATAGCGGTGAATTTACTGAAGGTGTTGACAGTCCAGTGCAAGAAGAGGATAATGAAAGTTCCCCCATAGACAAACCTGAACTTTGTGACAAGAGAGACAATGAACTTACTGAGAGCTCAGGGCAGCAAGGTGACGCTATTAAAGAAGAGCCTGAGGCTGGGGAGGACATCATCGTCTACTTCAAGTTACCAGATGACTCGTTGATGTTGGTGTCGAGTCCTCGCAATCAGACGCTTGGGGAGCTCCTACAGGTGGTGGGCAACACAAGGGTCGGGGATAAACGGCTGGTGGTAGCCCAAGACAGTCTAGATCAGACGGACCTCACCAAGACCTTGGTGGAACTGGGCATTACAGACAACACTACACTGTATCTCCTCAACGAGTGATCTTACTCACGCCACATTCCAGTAACAACAGTTGTATTCCATCCTCATGTACATAATGTGCAAGATGGCCAAAGTACAAAAGACAACACGTAAGTCTAAGTATACAGACTCAAGAATTCTTGAGGTTCATTCACACTAATAATGAGAGTATACACACATTAAGCAGTGAAAACCACGCCATTTCATCACTTCATTATCATAACAGGCATGCGTGAGCGTATTTGATAGGAGTGAATGGAGACAAATGGTTTTTAATACTTGACGTGCTGTTGGAGTGTGAGCAAAGTAGCATTTATGAAGGGATTCAGGGAAACCGGCAGGCCGGACTTGAGTCCTGGAGATGGGAAGTACAGTGCCTGCACTCTGAAGGAGGGGTGCTAATGTTGCAGTTTAAAAACTGTATTGTAAAGCACCCTTCTGGCAAGACAGTGATGGAGTGAATGATGGTGAAAGTTTTTCTTTTTCGGGCCACCCTGCCTTGGTGGGAATCGGCTAGTGTGCTAATAAACTAATGATAATTATCACAGTCTCTAGCATCACTCGAAATAACACTACAACACCCCTAGAGCATCATCTCACACACACACTACAACAGCAAACAAATCACCACAGACACAACCACAACCAGCACAGTTCGCACCTAGTGACCTCAAAGAGGAAACGTGTCATGTAGAAACACTTAAGCCATCTTCCTCCAACTGTACAGGTTGTAAAATGTTTTTGTGTATCTTTTATACGTAGTCCTGCTATAAGGATCGATATCAATCCATGGTTATTGTAAGTTTTATACAAGTTACTAATAAATTCCAGAGCCTTGTTGTGTCGGCACCAAACTCGAGTTAACTTGTCAGGGAATGGAAAGTTTTATGAGATACTGCTATGTTGCAGATACTTGATACCTGCCCAGGATGTTTAATAAAACATTTAATGCGTGTTTTAAGGTGATCGGGATGTTTCATATGATGTTTTCTGTGTTAGATTATCAGTATGTTTAACATGATGTTAAGTCCCAGTGTGTCTTGTAGAGAACCATATATATAGTATTTTACAGAATGTATATATATATATATATATATATATATATTATATATATATATATACACACACATACACAAATTATATGCTCACGATGTATCCACGAGCGACTACGTTGTTTGTTGAACAAATTTATTCCCTTAGGAAAATACACCTTGCGTGCGTGCGCGCGCTCATGTGTGTGTGTGTGTGTGTGTGTGTGTGTGTGTGTGTGTGTGTGTACTCACCTATTTGTACTCACCTATTTGTGGTTGCAGGGGTCGAGTCATAGCTCCTGGCCCGCCTCTTCACTGATTGCTACTAGGTCCTCTCTCTCCCTGCTCCATGAGCTTTATCATACCTCGCCTTAAAACTATGTATGGTTCCCGCCTCCACTACTTCACTTTCTAGACTATTCCACGACTTGACTACTCTATGACTGAAGAAATACTTCCTAACATCCCTTTGATTCATCTGAGTCTTCAACTTCCAATTGTGACCTCTTGTGTCTGTGTCCCATCTCTGGAACATCCTGTCTTTGTCCACCATGTCTATTCCGCGCAGTATTTTATATGTCGTTATCATGTCTCCCCTGACCCTCCTGGCCTCCAGTGTCGTCAGGCCGATTTCCCTCAACCTTTCTCCGTAGGACAATCCCCGTAGCTCTGGGACTAGTCTTGTTGCAAACCTTTGCACTTTCTCTAATTTCTTGACGTGCTTGACTAGGTGTGGATTCCAAACTGGTGCTGCATACTCCAGTATGGGCCTGACGTAAATGGTATACAGTGTCTCGAACGACTTCTTACTGAGGTATCGGAACGCTATCCGTAGGTTTGCCAGGCGCCCGTATGCTGCAGCAGTTATCTGATTTATGTGCGCCTCAGGAGATATGCTCGGTGTTATACTCACCCCCAGATCTTTTTCCTTGAGTGAGGTTTGCAGTCTTTGGCCATCTAAACTATATTGTGTCTGCGGTCTTCTTTGCCCTTCCCCAATCTTCATGACTTTGCATTTGGCAGGGTTAAACTCAAGGAGCCAGTTGCTGGACCAGGCTTGTAGCCTGTCCAGGTCTCTTTGTAGTCCTGCCTGATCCTCATCCGATTTGATTCTTCTCATTAACTTCACATCATCTGCAATCAAGGACACTTCTGAGTCTATCCCTTCCGTTATGTCGTTCACATATACCAAGAACAGCACAAGTCCTAGGACTGACCCCTGTGGAACCCCGCTTGTCACAAGCGCCCACTCTGACACCTCGTCACGTATCATGACTCGTTGTTGCCTCCCTGTCAGGTATTCTCTGATCCATTGCAGTGCCTTTCCTGTTATGTGTGCCTGATCTTCTAGCTTTTTCAGTAACCTCTTGTGAGGAACTTTGTCGAAGGCCTTTTTGCAGTCCAAAAAAATGAAGTCGATCCACCCCTCTCTCTCTTGTCTTACTTCTGTCACCTTGTCATAAAACTCTAGTAGGTTTGTGACACAGGATTTTCCTTCCCTGAAACCATGCTGGTTGTCAATTATACACTTGTTTCTTTCCAGGTGCTCCACCACTCTCCTCCTGATGATCTTCTCCATGACCTTGCATACTATACACGTTAGTGATACAGGTCTGTAGTTTAGTGCCTCATGTCTGTCTCCCTTTTTAAAAATTGGGACTACATTTGCCATCTTCCATACCTCAGGGAGTTGCCTAGTTTCAAATGATGTGTTGAAGATCTTTGTTAATGGCACACATAATATCTCTGCTCCCTCTTTAAGGACCCACGGAGAGATGTTGTCTGGTCCCACCGCCTTTGAGGTGTCAAGTTCGCATAGCAGCTTCTTCACTTCCTCCTTGGTTATATGTACCTCATCCAGCACTTGCTGGTGTACCCCCCCTGTTCTGATTTCCTGGAGTCCTACTGGTTTCCACTGTAAATACTTCTTTAAATCTCGTGTTGAGCTCCTGACATACCTCCCGGTCATTGCTTGTGAATTCCCCATCACCCTTCCTCAGTCTGATTACCTGGTCCTTGACTGTTGTTTTCCTCCTGATGTGGCTGTACAACAGCTTCGGGTCAGTCTTGACTTTCGATGCTATGTCATTTTCATATTGTCGCTGAGCCTCACTTCATATCTGTGCATATTCATTTCTGGCTCTTCGGCTAATCTCTTTATTTTCCTGAGTTCTCTGTCTTCTGTACCTTTTCCATTCTCTAGTACACCTAGTTTTTTTGCCTCCCTACACCTTTGGGTGAACCAAGGACTCGTTCTGTTCTTCCCATTATTTCTGTTTCCCTTGGGAACAAACCTCTCCTCTGCCTCCTTGCATTTTGTTGCCACATAGTCCATCATTTCTTGTACTGGTTTTCCTGTCAGTTCCCTCTCCCACTGAATGTTTTGAAGGAAGTTCCTCATGCCTGAGTAGTTCCCCCTTTTGTAGTTTGGTTTTTCCCAGCCTATTCCTGCTACTCTCTCCACTTGGAGCTCAACTATGTAGTTGAAGCACAGAACCACATGATCACTAGCTCCCAGGGGCCTTTCATACAAGATATCCTCGATGTCTGAACTACTCAAGGTGAATACAAGGTCCAGTCTTGCTGGTTTCATCTTCTCCTCTCTCTCTGGTAGTGTCTCTAACATGTTGATGCATGAGGTTTTCCAGTACTACATCCATCATCTTGGCTCTCCATGTTTCGGAACCCCCATGGGGCTCCAGGTTTTCCCAGTCAATCTCCTTGTGATTGAAATCACCCATAACTAGTAACTTTGCTCCCCCCACGTGTGCTCTCCTGGCCACCTCGGCTAGTGTGTCGACCATGGCTTTGTTGCTCTCATCGTATTCTTCTCTTGGTCTCCTGCAGTTCTGTGGTGGGTTGTACATTACTGCAATTATCACCTTATGTCCCTCAGACTGGATTGTTCCTACTAAGTAGTCCCTTTCACCCATGCCATCCATTCCTTCCATTTTCTCAAAACCCCACTGGCTTTTAATGAGCAGTGCAACTCCTCCTCCCCCTCTCCTCCCTCTGTCTTTCCTGAGGATTTGATATCCGGGTGGAAAGATTGAATCTGTTATTATTCTGGTGAGTTTTATTTTTGTGAGTGCTATTATGTCTGGGGATGTCTCCTTGATTCTTTCGTGCCACTCCTCATACTTATTTGTTATTCCATCTGCATTTGTATACCATACCTTCAACTTCTTTTCTAAGACTGTGGTCTGGGAGGTGTATTGGGGTTGGGGAAGTGGGAGACCTGATAAGGAACTATGGGTGGTTGCTGTGGGGGTGGAGTTTGTAATGTAGTGGGTGGGGGCATTGGATATGGCATGGGTGTTTTGGTTTAGAGTGTTTGGCTGCACTGGGGTTGACCTGGTTGGGAGGCTTCTATAGGAAGCTGTGAGGGAGGTTGTATTTGATCTTCTTCCTGTGTCTGGGATCTCCTGTCTGTCTTCTCCATCCCCTCTCTTTCCTCCTTTCGCCTTTGTACCATCTCTCTCAGTTTCCGCCTTTCGTCTTGTGTTCTGTCGTGGTCGAGATACACCTTCCTGTATGCCGGCATGTCCCTTAATCGTGCTTTCTCCTGCAGTATCCTGTTCCGAGTCGATTCTGCCTTGAAGGTCACTTTCACTGGCCGGGTTCTTTTTTTTACAAACCCCCCTATTCTCCGAAAATTTTCCAGCTAGGTCATGTCGTCTTCTCCGATTACTTTCATGATGCTTTCAATTGCTTTTTTTTCCCCTTGTTTTCTTGCTTCAAATGTTTCCCCTTCAACTTCCTGTAGCCCATACACAAAGACTGACCTCACCCTTTCATTCTCCCACTGCATATCCCTGTGTATCCCCTCATTCAATTTGATTTCCTCCATTGCAGCTTTCCTTTCTTCAGTTTCACTAGCTACTGTACATGGGCTCAGTGGCCTGTCATTTTCCCTTCTTCGGCTTTCCCTGGGCTCTGTTGTGGTCTTTTAGGGCCTCCACATATAGCTTAGCTCTTTCATTTACTACAGTCTCCACTGATAAAGCTTCTACATGCAGTTTTGCTCCTTCTTTCCCTACAGTCCCCTTATTTGTGGCTGAGGTAGCGGTCTCTGTTGTCAATCCCAAAATGTTCTTTAGTTCTTTAGTCTGTTTCAGATTTTCCAGTTCCTCTTCTAAACTCTGTATCCTGGCCTCTGCTGCTTTGACTTTCACCTCCCACTTCCTGCTTTCCATGTCTATCCTCTCTTCCATTCTCATGCTAAGTTCTTCTAGTTTCTTTTCCCATTCTTGTTCCCTTTTTTTGAGCTCTGCTGCCCAATCTTCGTTTGCAGTTTCCTCCTCCTGTCCCTTGGGATTTCTTGTTGCTCTCTGGCAACCCATTTTTGTTTTATCCTGATTGCCTCAGAGTGGGAAACCTATGTAATTCTGTATGTTAGGTTAGTATTGTATATGTCAGAGTGTGGGGGGGGGAGGTAGAGGAGGAACTGTGGCTATATGGGAGAGTAGTGGGGAGGGGGAGTGGGAAGGAGAGTGAAGCAAGTGGGTAAGTGGGTGAGTGGGAGAGGGAGAGGTGGGGAGGGGGAGGGTGAAAGAGGGGGGGGGAGGGATCAGATGAAGGAGTGAGATGTCGGTGGGGGAGGGGGGGAGTTTTATGTGTGAGTCTGGCAATATGTGTGTGTGTGTGTGTGTGTGTTGTGTGTGTGGGGCGTGTGTGTTGCATGTGTGTGTGTGGGTGGGTGTGTGGGTGGGTGTGTGGGTGGGTGTGTGGGTGGGTGTGTGGTTGGGTGTGTGTGTGTGGGTGTGTGTGGGTGTGTGGGTGTGTGGGGGTGTGTGTGGGTGTGTGGTTGTGTGTGGGTGTGTGTGTGGGGTGTGTGTGTGTGGGTGTGTGTGTGTGGGTGTGTGTGGGTGTGTGTGTGGGTGTGTGTGTGGGGGTGTGTGGGTGGGTGTGTGGGTGGGTGTGTGTGGGTG